TTGAGTTTATTTCATGAATTGTTTCCAGACTTCAGGCTGGTGCAACAACATGTCTGACTTTGCCAGGATAGGTGGAAACCTCCAGCATTTATTCAATTACAGATGGTTTTATTGGTCAAAAATGCCTAAAAAATTCATGTATTGTTATTGTGAGTAAGGTCACATCTCGACAGATCTCTTGCCTGGTGGCTCCAACTGTGTGTGTCCATAGAGATGCATAAGGTTTAATGCTATACTGTGTGTATTTCTGGGCAAAGAATTAACCATGGAGTCAAACAGGGGGTGGACACTCCACCTGAAAAGTGAATGCACCTATAATCTGAAAAGTAAAAAAGTATTTATTTTGGACCAAAAATAAGTACAAACCTGTGAGGTGAGTGACAACTGTCAGACAAAGCAGAAGACAAAGCATTTTTGAAATGGTTCATCAAGCTGTGAACGGTAAAAAAAAAAAAAGTCTGAAAATCAGTAAACAAAATTTGCCTAAATGAAGAAACTAACAGAAAGTAAGGTAAATTTTTAAAGAAATAAAACTACTCAAATTGACATAGAAAGAAATGTCATTATTGCAAAAGATATCAAAACTCTATAAATCTCATATTCCACAAAAGTCCTGAAGAATATTTCAAATACTAATGTTTCAGATCAATCACTCGTGTAAGTCCAAAAGTGTAAAATGGGGAAATCTTGACTCCAGCTCTTTGGTCTTAACAAGAGAATGGAGGCACTACCGAGACTTCAAAATAAATATAAAAACTAGAAATGCCTCTCTTATCTTTAAATATTAAATTAACTTTTTTTAGAGGATTTTCTGAAACCTCCAATGTGCAAACAAACACATAAATAAATAAATAAATAAATACATACATACATATATACATAAAATACCATATATTCAGGCAAAGAGAAATATTACATTTTAATTTTTGGCAGTTAGGTAATATTTACCAGTGTAGATTCTTACCTGAGAAACAATGCTGTGAAAGATGAGGATCTGTTCTGAGTGATTCAGATGTACAAAGTGTCTTTTAAGCCCCCCCTCCAAAAAAAAAAAAAAAAAAGATGTAAAACTTGCAGAACAGACCCTGAGGGAGCGACTCTAAACATGAGACATTTGCATTCAAAAACTTCTCTGACAAATATACAAATACTCAAAATCTCAGTTTCCAACTCTACCACTTTTTAAAGAGCCCGTATTATGTTATTTTGATCTATGTTATAAAGCTGTTTCCTCATCACAAACAGACCTGGAGTTGTGTTTTGTTTCACTCACACATATTAACACACAAACCTTCATATTTAGGCTGAGTTTTTCCCTCAAACAGAAAACACTGTGATGCCATTTGGTAAAACAGGAAGCAGGGGTGGGACCAAGTCATTGTTTTGCATATCTCAAGTAAGTCTCAAATCTGAGTCAAGTTCCAAGTCAAAGACAAGCAAGTCTTGAGACACTGGCTCATAAATCCAAGTCAAGTCCAAGTTGTCTGTTTGAAGCTTCAAGTCATTTCAAGTCTTTAAACCAAAATACCAACTGTAGCTTAGATTTTTTCTATTTATATGACTTTTAAACTAAATTAAACTTAAAAAGTCATGGTATATTTATATATGAGTATTTATAGATTAAGAGTTGTAGGAATGCATTTTTTTCCTTTTTAATGTCTTAGTGAATCATTATGGTCATAATAGAAATAATTAAGTTAAAATGCTTAATAACAGTTATTTTGTCATGTAGTCTGCACTGATATGGAAGGATCATGTTCCCTTTGTTTTACTGTATAGTACTGTATGTTACTGTAGTACATTTGAGGATCACATTACTTCAGTTACAACCAAAGTAACAAATGGAGAAATGGGAGGGACATGTTCCAGTTTGTTCCTGTAAAATTCAGCACATGTATCAACTATAAAGAGAAAAGTATTTTCTAAAAACATCTAGAAACATCAAGTCTTCTCAAGTCACAGGGTTCAAGTCCAAGTCCCAAATCATTGACCTTGAAGTCCAAGTTGAGTCCCAAGTCTAAGTCTTTTTTTTTTACCTTGCAGCATTAAGATTTGTTCGCTTGACGGTCTGCAAGTACTTTTTGTATTTAATCAATCACTGCTATTTGGTCGTGACGTATGTAATGCAGCAAAACCTGTAGGAAGAAGGGCAATAACGTCTTTCCCGTTGATAAAATTCACCAAACATTCTCTTTTTTTCCTGCTTTAAATCTTCGATCTCAGGAATCTTTGCCAACACAGAATGTCTGTCTTCATCTACATCCATCTCGACCGCTTTGTTTACTGTTGTGCTGTACCACAAAAGTAACCCAGACATACGCTTGAGTTTGACGTCATGGCTTCACAGCTCTTCACTGATTGGCCGGTGTGCGGTCTACAACCTCCGTGGTTCTTGCAAACCTTCTAGTGTATTCCAGTTCCTGACCTAGTCGCCGGAGAGAAATTAAATTGAGTGAAGGCACTATAGGTGACACCAGCCTGGCTAGAATTAAATGGGATCTTATTCACATTTTTGTACAGTAAGTGTGTTATTGCCAAAAACATTTTGATGAAATTCAAAATAATGTCTTAATTGATCATTTACAGTGGCATCACGCTGAGGGGTTCTGCATGGATGTCTATGGTGGAATGTTCAGCAGTTACCATGATGACACATATTAGCAAACACAGCCATGTTTTTAGATTCTCTGAAAACTCAAAATGGATCTAAATGCATTTTCAGAAGCCTGAGATCAATACGAGTTCATGATCCTGTTTAGGTGTTTGATTCTTAACAGAAAAGGTGAGGGAGACTAACTGAAAAACTGCTGGCTAATGTCTCTATGTATCTGACCCAAACTGCACTGCAGACTAAAAGTACACTAGAATTGATACAAAAACAAACATTTATGCAGAAAAAAATAGGAAACAATGTATTATTATTAAGATGGATTACACAGGTGCATCATGAGTTTAAGTTTTTATTCATGATTTTATTTTTAGATAAATAAAAAATAAATAAAAATCTTCAGCTAACTCACTGTCTTACTAACTTCTCCTTTCTGTTGTTGTCACATATACTATATCCGTTATAATCTAAATAAAATGATTAGTCTAAAATTACAACCTTTCGGCGACTAAGACTCCATTGGAATATTATTCGACTTAATGACTAAAAGAGTACGGCGATAATCAGGATAAGAAAAACATTGTGGAAATAATCAGATTTATTTATTAATGCAACCACCAAACACAGATATGTGTCAAAGTGAGTTTATTTCTAATTAGTGGTGATTCAGTGCTCACATAAAAGTATAATAATAATAATCATTATATTAACAATAACAATAACAGGGGCAGTACACAAAATACCCTGCACTTCTGCTCGTGTCAGGTTTGTCCACATTTCAGACAAATTTGCGTAACTACTGAAGATGTCTGTGTAATCCCTCAGTTGTCCAGCTAAGATCCAGCCATCTTCTTCTGCATATCTGGGGCCGAGGTGTGGGGGCAGCAGTCTAAGCAAGGACTTTCCTCACTCTGGACACTTCCTTCAGCTCCTCCGGTGGGACCCCAAGGTGAACCCAGGCCAGCCGAGAAATACTGTTCCTCCAGCATGTCCCCGGGGCCTCCTCCATATCAAAGCTAAATTTGTCAGTGTCATTTTCTGTTTATGTGCTAACTACAGAAGAAAATTCTTGTTAACATTTTTGCTCTAAATGTTAGTGTGGAATGTTAAGAAGGTAGAAATAGGCCCAAAGAAGACCTTGAAAAAGAACTAAACAGAATACATGAAATATGAGATAAACCAAATCTCAATCTCAATCAAACCTTAATCGTACCTCTTAATAATAATTCAGATCCTGCATGGACCGTATGGATACAGTGAATGTGCTTCCCTTAACACATAAAGCTGCATTCAGACTACGGTGTTGGGGTGTTGAGTTTACATGTAAAGTCTATGTTGACCGTGCGTCTGGGCCGTCGTGCATTTCAATGGCGCATTTTCAAGTGTCGGTGCAAATCTGGCCTTCAAATGCAGAAGTTTTGATGTAGTCTGAGCGCAGCTTAAGAGTTTCACAGATGGCCACAAGGGGGAGTGACATTCTGACATATTTACAAATAAATCTAGGCCCACCCAACACCAAAAGCAGATCTAAACAAGGGACGAAACCAGGTCCAAGCATGCCTGAGGAGCAAGATGTAAATTCTCTGTATATTCTTTACAGTGGCTCTCGTCTGACTCTCAGTTGTTCCCAGCAACAATAGCTACAAACCACTCCTATTTGTGTATCTGACCCATCTGAGAAGTAACGCTGAAGCAAGCTCACTAACAGATCTCTATTTCAAACAAAACACCATGAGACAACCATATGTGATTTTTTTCTCTTCTGGGATCACTTAACCTATGTGTTTTAGTATCTCCTTACTAAAGAATGATGTGCATAGGTAGTCTGATTACTTTGTACCTGTGTGTTCCACAAATTGTTACTAGATTTCAGGCTGATGCAACAAGTCTGGCTTTGTCAAGTGGAAAAACTAGGACTAAAAACAGTGAACAAAGATTAAACTGGGTCAGAAACAGAATTAAAGAGGGGTAGAACCCAAACCAGGGGTACTTTAGAAGCAGTAGACGTTTAGGCCAGGTTAAACCAGGCCTCCTCCTCACTGATGGAGATAGAGCCTTTAAAGGTGCACTGCAGACCTTTTCTGGTATAGGGTCAGTTGCCTACTTGTCTCAGTGGACATGTTATTTCTTTGTCTGGAAGATTCCATGGTATGGTAACATTTATCCATTACGAGTGTTTCTGTTCCTTCACAAATACATTAATTCCTTCTGTGAATAGGGGCGACTCTCCACAGATCTGAACTGTAATGTGGCGTAGTGCTGTAACCTGCTCGTCTCGCTCTTAATAGATATGTTTAATCTATACTGTGGAACATTCTAGACAAAGCAATAACATTTCCATGGAGACTTGCAGGTGACACACCCTCCACTAGAAATGTTACGCAGTGCATCTTTAATAGTAAGGTTTCCAGTGTGAAAGAGCAGGCTCAGAACAGTGAATAAAAAAGGTGCACACTCTTGAGTTCAGTGCGTGTGCGTTCAGGTCCTTGGCTCATGTAGAGTCTCTGTCCCATTGCTACCACATGTACGTTGTCTTTGTGGTGTTGATGTGCCCCTCCTCCCTGCGCTCCTCCTCTTTCTCCTCTTTGTCCTTCTCCGCCTCACTCTCCCATAACATGATGAGAGGCGGGTACAGCTCGTTCAGAGGGATGGACGTGCTGTGCTGCATACATTTCTTTAGCGTTTGGACGTGGTTTTGCGAAGGGTTAACCAACCTCCGACGCTTCATGTAAAACAGTAACAGCGCCATGATACACAGCGCAAACATGGAGCCCAAAATCGCTGCCAACGTCAAGCTGCCATCACGACACCCTACCACCTCCGCGGCGTCAGAGTCGAAGTCAATGCCCTTTGTGGTGACGTTCAGGCATGAAGTGTGGGAGGGGACGGGGCTTGGCGAGTGGGGCGGCGCTGAGGAGATGGTCAGGCAAATGTGGTAGAGTGTGGAGGGGAGGAGGTGAGTGAGGTTGTACTCCTGAACATCTGCTGGAACCTGGGCCAAAGAACGACAGATTAAACTGAGACTAAAACAATCTTAAAGGTGCACTATGTAACTTTTTGTTTGGGGGTCCGTCACCTGTTTGTTTCTATGGTTATGTCATAAAAATATAAGAAAATATAAAATAAACAACCTTAAAATTCTAATTAATTAGAATAAAGGCTACGCAGTTATTTTGATATGTGAAGTAATTACGTTTTTTTTAAAATATTTGTTATGCCTAGAGTGACAAAACTTTCAAAATATAAACTGGGACATCCATGATTTGGGTGGGTAATAATAAAATTGTGACACGAGTGCTTAATTTAGGAAAACTATTATGCACTCAGCACTCATGTGAGTCTGTATAGTCACATTTTCTTTGTGTTTTGGTCATTTTTAAGCAGCTTTTCTGTATTTTACTGAAACAAATGACAATGTATGCCTCTCTTTACTGTTGGCAGGGATCAGATTGGTCAAAAATATGGAAACCTGTGACATTTCTTGTATGAAACTGGGACAAATCACTGGTTTTGCATAAATCTGATGCAACAGGGGACACAGGGCACAAAACTGGGACTGTCCCGGGTAAATAGGTACGTCTGGTCACCCTGATTATGCCTATAAATGAGCAACAAAACATCTCTCTGTCTAAACGCTGAAGTCTTCCTTATTTCTGTACTTTTTAACATTTTCCTTATTCACTGTCTTATCTTTAAATATGTATTCATTTTAGCATGACTCAGCAAAAACCTCACAGAGATAAAATTGGACAGGAAGTAGTGACGTTAACAGTGAGGTTGCCAAGTGATATTGTGCATAGAGCCTATTGAAAATCAGACTAATCAATATGAGTTAGAACAGGAAGGGCAGACCTTGGCAGTGTAGCTGATGTGTGGGTTGTGGATGTGGACCATGGCTGTAGTGAATCGAGGCAGGGTTCCAGTCGGGTCTTGTTCCTGGTTCTGGTCTTGTTTGGGTTTTTTGAAATGCAGCTTCCACTCCAGAACCACAGACTGAGAGTGCACCACCTGCAGATCCAACAGACACATTAAAGGTCCTATATTACACAAAATCGACTCTTGTGAGCTTTAAGTCATGTTATAATGTTGTTACTTCCTCAAAAGCATACATAGCATTGTGTTTTGTTTCATTCACATATGTTTAAGTAATCCTTTATTATTAGACTATCTACATTTCCAAAGCTCAAAATGCAAATCATGACCAGTTACTGCCTTTAGGGTGAGGGTTTAAAATAATCTTACTATATTACATGCATTTGATATACTGAATGGTGAAAAAGTTGAGTCATCACACATCCTAACCCTCCTAACCCTGTCTGAAGTATTTTCTGCTGCTCCTTAAACTTCAAGTGAAACTAAACACCGGTGTCCTTTCTCCGCTCACAGCCAAAGTAAAGAGAGAGCAGCAAAAGAGGTCAGTGCCTGAAGGACACTGGGGCACGTGGTGTGGACATTAACAGATACTAGAGCAGGGGTCTCCAACCTTTTTCCTCGTATGAGCTACTTTTTTGCTAAACAAAAATGCCAGAGAGCTACTAATTTTAGTGATCGCTAGAAATTTTGTAAATATATGAGCCATGGCAAGCTGTAGATGAGGTACAGTTAGACTCCAATAAAACATAACCCATTATCCAGTTATCATTGCACAAATTAGGCATCAAAATGATACATTTACGATGGAAATAGACATTTAATCAATCAGATTTGAGTTATTCAGCACAATGGTATAATTCACAACTACTGGGAAGGGGGTGGAGAGCTACTGGTGGCTCCTGAGCTACAGATTGGAGACCTCTGTACTAGTGTTATATATATTTAAAATGTAAGAATAAAGCTGAATCAGGAGTAAATTTGAACCAGAACATGTCCATGTACCATCCAAGGCACCTTTACCACATTTTGGGAACTATGTGTGTAAAGCATAGGACTTAACCAGGGCTAAACTAGAATAAAGCAGGACTCATGGTGGACTAATAGATCTGATAGGGGCAGTAAGAGCAGAAAAGAGATCATCTTATGATTGCTTTAAGATGGCTTAATGATGGTTACCTTTGTAAGAACCACCAGAGAGGCAGGACTGCTGTTGTTGCCACCCAGCCATGACTGACTGGCCTTGGAGTTTGTGGTCCTCCCCGGGCCCTGGAGCTCCACCACCACAGACAGACTCTTGGTGTCAGCTCCCTCTGCATTCCAGGCCACACAGGTGTAAGTCCCTGAGAATAGAGAAGAGTCATTTACCCTGAACTCAATGTCGTCGACAAAACAACAAGTATTTAGAATGTATTATTCACATTTATATATATTTTTTGTAATTATAATGTAGTTAATGTGATGTGTGAGCTACTGTCTCCAAGTAATTTCCCTTATGGATCAATAAAGTTCGTTTAAGTCTAAAAACAGAACTTAATATGAACTATCATTTGATGAAACCGTTATAATTCCACACCTGTATCTGAGGCGTCCGCATGGTCAATGAATAAAGCCCCAGGTTCCAGGAGACGATGTTTTTTCTGCTTTGCGCTGCCTAAGCCCTGACCCTCTGGCTCCTCCTGCGATACGATTGGAGCAGCCATGGCCTCGGAGCTCACCTGACCAAAAACAAAAATTCAGTCTATTCCGTCTATTGGAACACATTACAATTTTGTACATGGATTTGGGTGGTTTCACAGTTTGTTCTAAATGTAGATTTTTAAATTAAAGGACCCATATAAAGCAATTTTCTGATTTATGTTATAATGTTTCCTCATCACAAACAAACCTGGAGTTGTATTTTGTTTCATTCACACCTGTTTAACACACAAACCCTGCATATTTAGGCTGAGATCTTCTTTCAAATAGAACACACTTGGTTCCACCTTGTGATGTCATGTGGTAATACAGGAAGTGCTCTGTTGTGTATTTAAGCTCCATACAGCTTCACTAGGATCATTTGTATGAATTTCATTATATTGGATTTCAGCCCCGGAATTGATCATTTCTACTGAACTAAAGGTAAAAGGAGCTGTTCACTTGAAAATCATTGCATCATGGAACACAGCATTTTGAGCTTTAGAGATGTAGACAGATTAATAATAAAGGATCACTTAAACATGTGTGAATGAAACAAAACACAAGTCTGGGTATATTTTTCAGGAGGTAATAGGACCTCATTTCCTAGTGAGCCAGAGACATATGGAGACACTTTTTAAAATATTCCATCCAGTCGTTGTATTTGCAGAGGTCGCTGGTGCTAGGCTAGTGCATGTCATTGGCCATAGTTAGTCTGCCACTAAAAACATCTTACCCACTCCACAAAACACCCGAAGTAAATCTATTATTACACCAGACTATTGATGTAAATGTCTGTGACAATAGAATAATTTTATAAGTAAAACCAACCTTGCATTTGAAGGATTTATGTCTGAGCAGCAGCAGCGAGTTGTACTTCCTGATAGAAAGCTTGGCATAGGTGGACTGATATCACTGAGCACCTATCTTACAGACAAAGTAAAATTCCGCTGCTGCTGAGAAAATAGTCCCTCAACATGCAACGATTCATGCGATGCAAGGTTAGCTTTATTTCAAACATTATTCTATCAACATAGACATTCACATCGACAGTCTGGTGTAATAACAGATTTACTTCGGGTGTTTTGTGGAGTGAGTAAGACTGTTTTTAGTGGCAGGCTAACTATGGCCGTTGACATGCACTAGTCTAGCACCAGTGACCTGTCTCCAACACTCTGGCTCACTAGAAAATGAGGGCTTATGTCCAAAATTCAGGCCTGTCCCTTAATAGTTAAATCTGCCTCTTATCCCCCATCTGGGAATATAAAACCACCCATACTGTGTGTTGTTGTTGAAAATGTGCATCTGTGTGACGTACCTTGTCTCCAGTGGGGGTGACCCAGTAGAACTGAGGGGTGGGGTCAGCGTCCGCCCAGCACTCTATGGTGATAGGCTGCCCCTCGCTGACGTTTATCACCGAAGGAAACACATTGGACGAGATCTGTGGCAAACAGGTGCTGACCCCGCCCCCTGACGACATCACCACTTCCTGCAGCTGTCGGCCAATCAGGTGCAGGGGGGCGTGGCATACAGTGAGGGTGGGCTCCAGCAGCGTCAGGTGAGAGGAGTTTCCCAGGTGAACAGCCCAAGTGTGGAGGCAGTCACAGCGCAGAGGGTTTGAGTGGACGGAGAGCTCTTTGAGAGAGGGCAGAGAGGAGAGCAGCAAGGGGGAGAGGAAGGACAGAGAAGAGCTGTGTAGCATGAGCGAGCGAAGCCATGGGACGCCACTAGGGACAAAACACAAAAAGAAATGTCACAAAAAGAAAAATGTAAATACAAGTTTATATACAACAGCAAACGTTACCTAAAGGTGTGAGGATGCAGGTGAGACAGGTGGATGTTGTTGCACATTTCCACTTTGATAAGTTCTGGAAGGTTCTGGAAGGAGTTTGGCTCCACCATCTGCAGCTGCTCCATGTTGTTCAAACTGAAATAAAAAATATGTTTGATACGAATTAAACCAGGACTAAACTATGATAAAGCCCCGTTACTACAGGAGTTCAGTCTTGGTTAAAGGTCTTATAATATGTAAAATTAACTAAGGTTATGTTCAAAATGCAGGGATTAAAGCTCAATTCTGATTTTTTTGTGAAATCTGATTTTTTTCCAAGGTTGTTCACATTTCAAATTAAATGCAACTTGTGTGAACTTTAAATGCCCCAAAAGTGTCCTGCATGCGCATTGGAGGACAAGACGATGTCACACGCAGCGAGTGTGCTCAGTGTTTAAGGAAGTTGCCTAAAACGCTGGGCTTGTCTCCCAAAATACGGTCCAGTTCTTGGTAAAATGGACAGGTGACACGTCCACGGCTGCTTCATTTGTTTGAGTCTTTAGCGTCTTTGTATTTGGCTCGCAGGCTCTTTATTTTTGGTTGACATTGGAGCCAAGACCTCCTGTAGCTGCGCTCGGCCATTTCTTTGGCAATTATTCCAAAAGCCGCCCAATTCCGATAAGACCCCTCCAATTTGGCCTGAATACAGTGATCGCCCCAAATATTAATGAACTCGCAAACCTCGCTTTCCCTCCACTGACTAGACTCCGAGCCTGACGTGTAGGTGGGATGAATGTGACCTGGCCGTTCAGCCTGAAGTCACAAAAGATCAAAAGATCGGATATGTATCGGTTTTAGGAACACATATCCAAGTGGCCTGGGTCTCATTTGAAAAAATCGGATCTATGTCGTTCAGACTGTCATTAAAAAATCAGACACAGGTAACATAGGGGCAAAAAAATCGTATTTGGGTCACTTCAGGCTGCAGTCTGAATGTAGCCTAAGTAAAGGGTTTGTGTGTTAAACATGTGTGAATGAAACAAAACATAACTCCAGGTATGTTTGTGATGAGGAAACAACATTATAATGATCAGAAAATAGTGTAATATGGTCCTGGTCCTGGTCCTTTTGAGGGTGAATCGTACCTGATCTCCTGGAGGTGCAGCAGGTCCTGGAAGTCTCCCTGCTGGATTCTACTGATGGGATTTCGATTCAGGTCCAAGAATTTCAGGTTTGGAAGAACTTTCAAAGCATCTCGAGGGACTGAACCTGAGAGAACATGTGAGAGACAAGGAGTAGACCTGGTTTAGACTTCATATGAATACTTTGGAACTGACATCATCAGCATTCTCAGGGGTGTGATGCTACCTGTAGGCTCTGCTCTGTCTGAACATTTGTTACTCAAGTCAGACTTTGATCTCACTCTCACATTTTTTTTTGTTGAAAATCACACCTACCCAGAATCTTCAACACTTGTATTGATCACAGGCTCCTGAAAATGTGCAGTTTAAATCTATTTTGTATTTTTTCTTGAGTTTCCACACAATCTGAAAACATTTTGGTAGTTATCGCTAGTGGTGGGACCAAGTCGTTGTTTTGCAAGTCTCAAATAAGTCTCAAGTCTTTGACCTCAAGTCCAAGTCAAAGTCCCAAGTCAAAGACAAGTTGTCTGCTTTGAGCTTCATGCTATTTCAAGTCTTTAAACAAAAAAGTATCAAATATAGCTTAGAGTTTTGCTATTTACATGAATTTTAAACTAAACTGTACTTAAAAAGTTATGGTATATTTATATATGAGTATTTATATAAGACTTGTAGATGTGCAAATATTTCCTTTTTAAATGTCTTCTCAAGATCTGTCAAGTGTGAATCATTACGGTCAGAACAGAACGTCTTTTCAAGTCAAAGGGCTCAAGTCCAAGTCAAGTCCCAAGTCACTAAGCGTCAAGTCCAAGATGAGTGCCAAGTCTTAGTCTAAAGTCTCAAGTCCTAAAAATAGTGACTCAAATCTGACTTGAGTCCATGTCATGACTTGCAAGTCCCCACTTCTGGTTATTGCTAATGTGTGCATTGTGTCACCATGGTAACTGATGAACATCCTGCCATAGAAATAGATAGAAATACAGAGAAACACACCCCAGCGTGATGTCACTGCAAAGCACAAACCAACACACTTTATGTAGTTTCAACCAGCCAAATCTCTTTCGGGTCAGACTGTGTTAAAACAAAGCTCAGATTAAGTCTAACTTGAGTAATAACTTCAACAAATGCTTTCAGTTAAATTCACACCCCCAGGGAACGTTGATGATACCAGCTGCAAAATAAGAATAGTCCAGGTTTAGTCCCAGACCTGAGTTTGTTGTCGTAGAAGGAAAGACTCTCCAGACAGTCCAGTCCAGCGAAGGCTTTGGGAGACACCGACTGCAGACCCATGGAAGCCAGAACCAGACTGTGGAGTCGAGGTAAGGACTGGAAAGAGCCCTCTTTCAGCACTAAGACCGGGTTTTCCCCCAGCATCAGGATCTCAAGAGCAGGCAGGGAATCAAACCAGCGACTGTCAATGGATTCCAGCTGATTGGAGTTTAGGTGCAATCTGAAGAAAATAAGAACAGAATAAAATATGTTAGAAGAACCTACAATTGTAATTTATTTAAAGGGCCCATGTAGTGCTGTTTTCTGATCTATTTTTTAAAGCTCACGAGTCAATTTTGTGCAACATAGCTCCTTTAAAGCAGTTGCAGAATAAGTAACAGTAAAAATACCGGAGCAAGCTGGTGAGTCCGCTGAAGGCCCAGGTCTCGATAGTCCTGATCTGATTGTGGTTGATGTAAAGTTCTTCTAAACTCGACAGGTTCCTGAGACCAAAGTCTGGCAGAACCTCAATCCGGTTCTCCTCCAGGTACAATGTGACCAGGCGGGTCAGAGAGGAGAGGTCCAGAGAAGAGACCTAAAACAGGACCAAGCAGAACCAGAACCAGGTCAAACTAGAGATTATTCTTACCACTTAAAAAGAACAGGGTTGTATGGGCAATCTTCTTATTAAAAAACACAATATTAATTTTTTTCTCCTCTTTCTTAATTTTCTGGCCTTATATTCCTCTTAATAATTTATTTTATTTGTTTGTTTTATTATGTCAGTAATTTTTTTTTTTTTTTGATTAATAAAAAAACAGTCACTAAGCATTATTTTTTTTCATTTCAGCCTTCTCTTTCACAGAATACCTACAGAACACCTATAGGAGCATAAGCCTGTGTAACATCATAAATCCGATAATAAGCACGGAGTACTTGTTAAACAGGTATTCCAAGTATCTTTTGTCATTTAGGTTTGACCGAAGAAACTGTGGACTGGGATGTAATGCAAGTGTTCCCAACAACTACAACAACTCACTCTTACGTAACAGATAATACTCCCTACAACTGTGCAACAACTCACACTTATGGAACAGATAATACTCCCTACAACTGCACAACATCTCAGAATATAGTCTAAAGAGAGGTCTGGGGCAAGATCTTTGAGGGGTACCTGGGAGATGTGGTTCTGAGACAGGTCCAGCTCCGTCAGGTTTGTCAGACTCCTGAGCTCAAAGGAAATGGAGGAGATGTTGTTGCTCTGAAGCAGGAGCACCTAAAGACACATGAGTTAAAACATGAACTTGTCACTGTATTTAAGGAGACTTTGTTTACCATGAAAAAATATATAATTAAAGCAGCTTTGTAAATTTAAAGGGTCCATTTTACACTATTTTCTGATCTATGTTATAATGTCATTTCCTCATCAAAAACACGCCTGGACGTGTTTTGTTTAGCATGTTTTTGAAGATGTAACAATATTCTAACTAAACTTAAAGCTCACAAGAGTCAACTTCTAAATCTAACAAATTTTGCTGTAAACTCTGTCTGGGGCAAACCTGAGTATCAGTGGAGACATTTGCTGGAACCCTCTGGAGGTGCAGTTCGTTGCAGTCTACAGTGTTGGCCTGATGAAAGACGGACTGGGGAGTGTACCATGGTCTGGTCTCACACACACACTGCAGCGGACACAGCACAGCACCACCTGCAGGACACATGAATCACTACAACACACTGCACCATTGAACAGACAACATTTTAGACACTCAGCGTTTCAACATAAGGATTCTGACTAAATATCTGATGCTGAAAAATGTTTTGGATCATCGGTTTCCAAATATTACTTCAGTCGATATCCTGGTTGGACATATAAATTGTGGTAATATGCTTTTTTTTTCTTGGTTATAATTGGTTCAGTAAGTGTTATAACATTTATTTATACAAAGCTGTTCTGTAGTTACTAATGGGATAAATATATATGTATACTGTGAACCAAAGCAAGAAAAATGATCTGACAAAGGCTTTTTTGCCGAAACGTTATCTAAAAATAAAAAAAGTTTTTGGACATTAGCCATCTGAGTGTGCTATGCATTTTTCATTTATACTGATGGGATAAATAACAGCTACATAACACATTTGGATCAGTTTCATCTTATTTTATTTTTGTATGAAGAAAATACTAGTAAATGCTGTTTTCCGTCTCTGCACTGGTATCACGAATTGTCAGATATTTAGCAATAGTATTGACATCACTATCACTCCCTGTACTAAATAAAATACAAAAAAAAATAAAAATTACAAAAAACAAAACACAAGTAGTAGTATTGCAATAATTGTATGCCAAACATAATAAATAAATAAATAAATAAAGATATATGGACATTCTGACAGTTGTTCTTCATTTATTATTTTTTCTTCATCTGCTGGAGAATAGTTTTTGCTATTTGCACGAGGTAAATAAAATACAGTACTACTAAAATCTCTGTTCCAATAAAAATTTGACAACTGAAGCGTACTTAAAAGTATTTGGAGAAAAAACATGTTAAGAGAACTTTGCAAACTGTCTACATATAATTAATTGTAGCGCATTTTTATTGCTTGAAAATCTAGTAATTCACTGGGTGTTGTTGACATTTCAAAGACGCTGATCGCCACAAGATTTGGGATTTACAAATGACAACTTAAGACTTAAAACTTAAAGGTGCACTGTGTAACTTTTTGGTTGGGGGGATATGTCATTGCTCTGCCTGCAATGTTCCACAGTATGACATTAAACAGCTCTGTGATACATATATTCAATTACAGGTGGCTTTATTGCTCAAAAATACCTAGAAAAACAGGCATTCTGACTGTGAACGGGTGAACTTTCCACAGATCTGACTTGTAGCTTGGTCTGGTTTGGTCTCCGTGAAAATAGAGAAGAAGGTTTAATGCTATACTGTGAAACATTCCAAACAATGCAATAACATCTCCATGAAGAAAAACATTTGGCGGATCCTCCCCCAAAAAGGTTACACAATGCTTTAAAACTACCTCACTCTGTCACGGTTAAAAAAAACTGAGTGAAAAATAAAATGTTTACACACAAACACAAACTGAACTGTACCTGGACTCGCCCCGTCCACTGGAGAACACACTGACGACATCACCAGTGACACCAACAACAACAGGACTTCAGATCCCATGATGCACTTGGGCAGGCAGGACACAGAGAACCTGAAAGAAATGGCCAAACAATTCTAAAAAACACTGTATGTGAAATAAATAAACAGAGAAATAAGGCAAACCCCGCATTACAGGTTTTACACATGACAAAGGAGGAGTAAATTAAAGCTGAAATAGACCAAAAGCAGGACTAAAAACCAACCGAGAACATTAGAGGATCCAAGTATGTGCATGGTGATTGAAGTGAAAGCTAATTAAATATTTATCAGTCAATATTAATTATTTAAAGTAGTGAATGGCACACTCTGATTGGACATGTGAAAGGACCTGACTTTACACTTGGCTTACAGAAATATTGGCAAAAGATACAAGAAGGATTAGTTGTAGGTCTTGTAGTAGCAAAGAGGGGAAGTATTATAGCAAAAGTAATAACAGCAATAGTAAATCCAGCAGGAATAGTTGTACCAGAGCAACTGAGCTCTGCTGATATTTTTGCACTGATATGTAGGGCTGATTTAGAATTTTTATAACCACATGCAAACATTGGGTATTATTTTTTTCTGTTTTAATTTACTTTATCTATTTGTATGTGTGTTAGACTTCTATTTGTTATGTCTTGTTATGCTTCTATTGTTATTAATGTGCTGGGTGTACAACATTTACTCAAAATGATAAAAAATATGATTATCTTTCCTAAATGATGTAATTGAAATTAACAATAAACACACTAGAAATGGGACAAGATCTCGTGCCACAAGATCTCATGAGACAAGGTTGCAAACACATGCTGAAAACGATCTTGTGAGATTTATTTTTCATATTTTTACGTTTGGATTGGATACAAAATGGAGTTAAAGTTACATTAAAGTTACATTTTTTGAGAAGCTGTAGTCCCAAAAAGCAGAGCTACAATGACAGCAGAAATATTAAATAAAGTACATTAAAAATTGTAAGGGTAAAACTGGAAACTGGATTGCAGAATTGCTTTACAAATAATGTCACAATCTCATCTTTTCCCGTTCTCATAGATCCAATCTCATGTCTTGTCTCGTCTTTGGGAATTGTATCTCTTCCCACCCCTATAGTCACATTACCTTCTTGCATTCAAATAAAGCTTAATTTGTATGTATATGTTGTTTTTTTAATTTAGGCTAAAAAATAGCTGTGTTGGAAGTGGAAGTGAACGCTTGACATGCTGGAAAACGAAAAACTAGATGCAAGAAGAGAAGGGGTGGAGATCAAATTACAGCTTGTTGTTTATTTTGGCTCTGATTTGATGCCCCTGATTGACTCTTTAACCCAGATTAACCCATTTCACACAACGCCATCACATCCACCAAAACAACAGACGCACTCAGAGTCATAAAAGGTCCCTGCATTAGATCAATGAGTCACGACATTAGTATTATTATAGGTCTAGACACATTAGCTCTGGTTACATTCACATTACACACTCAAAATCAGATTATTACCAGATTTATTGAGTTATAAGATGACTTGAAATGAAATGTAATCAGCTAAATCATCTAATTTCTTTGTGATCATGGTCCTTCTTATTACTCACATCAGACTGTATACGTCATGTGTTTTAAATAATTTAAAGCTCCAGAAATGAGATAATAATTGGTAGGCCTATGCATGTGAACTTAACATAAAGTCAAAACAGAATAGGCTTTTTTTTTTTCAAATTAGCATTGTAAAAGTCTGGTGTTTGAACTAGCTGTTGAAAGATTTACGATTAAAGTAGGCCTTCTCAAACCTATAATTTATCAATGGTTATGTTTGGTTAATAAACTCTGATTATTTGTGGATTTCAGCTTCCTGTTATTGGCCTAGGTGACATTTTGAGGACTTTTTACCATTCAAAACATATAATATTTTGTTCTGAATTGTCAATTAGTATGGCAACACTTTTCAGCAGTCTTCAGCTTCATTGCTTAAGATATTCACAGGTCTCAGCTTCCTGTTATAGGTGACATTTTTATTTATATTTTATTTTTTAAATCAAATAATTCAGTGCTTTTACAGTCATTTTCATACATGCAAAACAAAAGATGTACAAGTAAAAGAGGCATGAGTAATAACTTAAATATACAGGAAAAGATGTAATAAAACAAAAAAAAAGACGGATATTTGAATCACAGTTTTATGTTGGGTAAAGCTAGGGGTGTTGTTCTACAGTTTTCATAAGTTGTACAGCAGATTTTTGTTTCATAAATTTCAGAGAAGAGAATAACAGGCATAGCTCTTCATGAAAAATATTGAAGTTTGGTCGACTCTTAAAGAATGTAGGTGACATTTTTAGTACTTTACAGTTTTCACCACTCAAAAGATATTTTTTGGTTTAAATTCTCAATTACTATGGCAACAGTCCTAGTTTTTATCATTCTGAAACCCATGGATAGCCACAGCAGCCACAGTAGCAGGATATTTATTAAAACAGTCACGTGCTTTGGAAATTAATTGATAATGGCCAGTTACGGTTTCACTAGGCTACTTACTTTGAGTCTATTTTTAATATTTAATCTAAAACAGAATAACTACTACTTCTACTAGTGGCTCTGGGTTAGGATGACCAGATTTTCAAAATAAAAGACATCCCTGGTTTGTGGTTGGTTGGAAATAATAAAACTGTGAAACACGTGCGTAATTAAGTAAAATTGTTATGCACTCGACACTAATGTGAGTCAGTATAGTCACATTTTCTTTGTGTTTTGATCATTTTTAAGCAGCTTTTCTGTATTTTACCTACAGAAATGACAACGTATGCCTCTTTTTATTGCTAGCAGTGATCAGATTGGTTAAAAATAGGGACATTTCTTGAATAAAACTGGGACAAATCACTGGTTTTGGATAAATCTGCTGGGACAGTGGACACGGGACTCAAAACTGGGACTGTCCCGGGTAAATATGGATGTCTGGTCACGCTTCCCTAGCTGAGTTCGTGTCCGCCAAATTACAGTGTGGATGGACCTCACCTGACGTGTTCCCGCTCCGTATCACGTGTCTCCGCGTGAAGCTGCCGTGGCCATAATCAATAAAGACCAACTCACTCCCAATACGCCAATAAGCATCCAAATCCGCGCGCTCATCCCGGACTTTATCGTGAGACTATAACCAATGCAGCCAATGCTAACTTTATTTTCTTTGTGGAGATTATTTTTCTAAAGTGAGACGGATGCTGAAGGACTGTAGAGGACACGGCCCGCGTTTGCTCACCTCTCTTTGGAGCTGCGGTGGTACGGCGGTAACATACGGGTCCTCACAGCCGGCGCGGACGTATCAGCAGCGGAAACCGATCTGGGAAGCCCTCGGACCCGGCGGTTGGAAGTTCGGGACGGTTGGTTTTGGGTTCTTTTATCCCGAGCATCTCCCTCTGAACCCCGCCAGCCTGCCCTCCGTCAGGTTCGCGCAGCAGCCAATGGTTTTCTAGGCCACGGGGCAGCGGACCAATCAGATCGCGGATGCTGCAAAGGAGGGGGCGGGGCTCCAGCGGGACATGACGTAATGCTCCAGTTTCAGAGCTTTGACTTCAGCTGGCTCACCAAAACACCATCACCAACACTGACACGATGAGCTGGAGGAATGATTACAGTTTTATACTTTATTGCACGTCTGCAACTGTACAACAACTCACCCTGATGTCACAGATAATACTCCCTACAACTGTACAACAACTCACCCTTATGTGACAGATAATACTCCCTAAAACTGTACAACTCACCCTTATATCACAGATAATACTCCTTACAACTGTACAATAAGTCATACTTATGTCACAGATAATACTCCCTACAACTGTACAACAACTCACCTTTATGTCACAGATAATACTCCCTACAACTGTACAACATCTCACCCTTATGTCACAGATAATACTCCCTACAACAACTCACCATTATGTCACAGATAATACTCCCTACAACTGTACAACATCTCACCCTTATGTCACAGATAATACTCCCTACATCTGTACAACAACTCACCCTTATGTCACAGATAATACTCCCTACATCTGTACAACAACTCACCCTTATGTCACAGATAATACTCCCTACAGCTGTGCAACAACTCACACTTATATCACAGATAATACTCCCTACATCTGTACAACAACTCAACCTTACGTAAGAGATAATACTCTCTACAGCTGTACAACAACTGACTCTTACGTCACAGATAATACTCCCTACAACTATACAACAAGTCATACTTATGTAACGGATAATACTCCCTACAACTTTACTTGTGTTTTGTTTCATTCACACATCAGATTGGCAATTCCAGATGTGAAGTTATCCAAATGATTCTAGTGAAGGAGTAAGCAGTTTAAAAACACAGTAGAGCACTTCCTGTATTACCACATTACATCACAAGGTGGAACAGAGAGTTTTCGGTTTGACAGAAGAGCTCACCCTAAATATGTAGGATTTGTGCGTTAAACATTTGTGAATTAAACAAAACACAACTCCAGGTTTGTTTTTGATGAAGAAACAACATTATTAGAATAAAATAGAGCAATATGAGCTCTTTAACTCTGGTTCTAAAACAATCCCAATGTAAGATATACCAAGTTACATTTTTGTCCTAATTATTATTATTATTATTATTATTATTATTATTATTATTATTATTATTATTATTATTCAGTTTTATTTATTTTCTTTTAAGATTTTTTTCTTTATAAATTAAGCAAACAGACAAAAGGAAAAAAACAAAAAACAAAAACAAAACAAAAAGCCCTTCCACCATCCCTCCCTCTCTCTTCAAACTCAATACATACACAAGACAACAAACAAAACAAAACAAAACAAAAAAACAGTCAAAGTCAAGTCCTGTAAAAATGCTCAAAAAAGGTGTTTGTATATGTTTAAAGTATATTTTTGTCTAATTTAGTCTCTGTGTAGCAGTGGTATTGTTCGGTTTAATCCTGAGGGGGAAACATGATACTGGATGGTTGTGGATGACATGAGTTTTACGGGCACAGACAAGCACAATGCTGAGTTGCAATATTGATTTTTTAAAAGTGATAATACAATATGACATAACCGTGACTCAGAATGACGAAAGATATAATCTGTTATAATCTGTTTATGTTAAAGGTGCATTGCGTAACCTTTCTGGTGAAGGGTCTGTCATATGCTTTTATTTATGGAGATGTTATTGCTTTGTCTGGAATGTTTCACAGTATTGCATTTTCTATCTTCATGGAGACTAAACCAGACCAAGTTACAGGTCAGACCTGTGGTGAGGCGACCCCGCTCACAGTCAGAATGCCTGTTTTTATATAGGTATTTTTATGCTATAAAACAACCTGTAATTGAATAAATGTAAGATAGAGTTATTTAATGTCATACTATGGAACATTCCAGGCAGAGCAATGACATATTCATAGAAACAAGCAGGTGATGGACCCATAACCAAAAAGTTCCACAGTGCACCTGTACAAACAGAGACACAGGGTTTGTTTACACGAGAACACTTGCGGGTAAAAATTACAAAATATTTTATCGGAAGTGCTTTTCGTTTAGATGGTAACGGCGTTTTTGGGGTAAAAAAATCTGAAACCACCCTCCAGAGTGGAAAAGCTGAATACGTTCCACCGTAGTGTTTCGGTCTACATTGCCCAAGACTCAAAACTCTGGTCAGACCTGCCCACGTCATGTATGCATTTACGACGCGTACATACATGTCAGATGGCATGCACACCCAGTTGAATTCCACACACTTTTGCGTCTTTGTATGCACACAGATTTCCTCCCGAAAATGCTCGTTTAAACACAGAATAAAAAGTGAAGACGTAATGCCACTTTTGCGTCTTCTGTTCAGACCATCATCATATAAACGTACCCTGAACCAGGTCTAATTCAGGACTAAACCCATTTTTAAACAAGAACTAAACAATAACTAGTAGTAGTGTTGTTGCAAATTCTAGTTAGTTGGATTCTTGGGAAAACAGACACTTCCTGTTTTTGTATTTTTTCCCATAATCCTTTGTGTCTGAGTGAAAACAATCACATGCAGTTTTAAATCCAGATTAAACCAGGATTAAACTGCAGTATCACATCAGGATCCTGTGAGAGACTCAGAGCTTTAGCGACATTTACACAGCGTTTTATAGTCGTCTTGTACATGTGGTCAGATGTGCTGATTTAAAATGACTTGGGCTGTTACAGTAACAGACCATTTAATATGTAAAATACTCTAAATTTCAGAATGGAGGCAGATGGAGGCAAAAGTGAAGTGGAATATAATGTTTTATTATTGTAATTTTAATAGAGAAACTGGGATTAACTTCAAAATATCTCCAAATATATATTATAAAATGGCAAATGAAAACCACCTAAATATATGTGAGTGATATCAGAGCCTGGTTTAAAACAGTGATAAGAGTGTTTTATGTTATTTCTTCATTTAAAGGTGCTGTGTAAATTTTCTGGTCAAATCTGGTATCTGGTTGATGATCTGTTGTTGATGTCTGGAGATGTTGTTGCTTTGCCTGGAATGTTCCACAGTAACTTTGTTGATCTTGCGTTTATCCATAAATGTGTTTTTATTGCTCAGATCTTGGAAAACAGGCTTTCCTCTCCAAAGATCTGACCAGTAACTTGGCCTGGTGGCACTATCTGCTTGTTCCCATGGAGACAGAGAGGTCATACCATATTGTAGAACATCGCAGCAATAACATCACCATGGATACGAGCAGGTGGTGGACCCTCCTCCATAAAGTTGCATAGTGCACCTTTAAGAAGAGATTGTGATAGACACTAAGCAATTTTGACAAAGGAAGAAACCAGATTTTTAGGTTTTACTTGACAAATCCTTACAGAAAAATTTAGCTCATTACAATTTTCCAGTTCATCTACAAATATAGTACACATTTAATCATAAATTAGACTTTTTGTGAAGCTCAAATATAATTTTGAGTTTAGAAATTTAAGCAAATTAACTAATATGTATGCCTTGGAAATTCAAAATGGTTGTTTATTTCCGTTATGGAAGTTTGAACATTTGATAACATAGGATTTTAAAGAAGGATGCTTAGATCAGAAGTGCAGACTTGTACAGAACAAAATAGTTTAATTTTTTGTAGAAAACAACATTTTTTAAACCATCAAATACAGTCAGTTCATAAAAATAACTTCTCTTTCCAGTAAAGCCCCTTCTGCTGCCACAAAATAAAGGCAGGCCCCGCCCTTTTACAATAAACCAGCCAATGAAAGCTGAGCAAGGACAAGGCCGGGCAGCAGAACTCCTCTCTGATTGGCTGAGAGGGCAGGACAGATATAATGAGACTATACAGTAACATTTGGGTATTTACACAAAAGAAGAAGAGTTTACAATTCAAGATACAACTTAGTCCAGAGTTGAGGATCATGGGAAATTGAGTCTATAAAAGATAAGACGCAGAACATGATTGCAGTGGTAAAAGGTATGAAGGTACTGACTATCGCGTTTAGTTAAAGGTACATTGTGCAACTTTTCTGGTGGAAGGTCAGTCAAATGCTTTTCCCCATGGAGATGCAATGTGTCACAGTATGGTATTAAACCTTTACATCTTTATAAACACCAAACCAGACCAAATTACAGGTCAGATCTGTGGAGAGGCAACGCTGCTCACAGTCAGAATGCCCATTTTTCAAGGTATTTTTGAGCTATAAACCCACCTGTAATTTATTAAATGTAAGGTAGATCTGTTTACTGTCATATTGTGGCACAGTAAGCAGCTTAATAACATCTCCATAGAAACAAGCAGGCCACGAACCCCAGGCCAAAATGTTACACAGTGCACCTTTAAAGAAAAAACGTAATTTGAGCAAACTTCAATGTCTATTTTACAATAAAATAAATATATTTGCCTAACAGTGCCGATTATGGAATGATGAGTTTAAATCAAATTTTTGGAGATTTTTACCATGTTATAACGTTGTTCCCTCGTTAAAAAGGAGGTTTTAGATGTCATCCATGCATGTTTGAATAATCTAGTGATCTCTCTCGCATGTACAATACAAAACAGTACGCTACAACTTCACAATCCAAAACCTGATGCGATGTGCAGTAGTTTCATGAGCGAGATGTACGCTGATTGTGCGGTGACAGGGCTCTGAATGGGGAGTGACTTAGTGCAGAGAGTAAACTACAGAGCATCAAAACAAAAGTGAAAACAATAAAATGTAACACGGTGATCTAAATATGTCATGTGTTAAAAGTTAATACCCCATAGAAGTAAAATACCCTCTTTTTAAGTAGCATCTTTTTACTTTCACTGCAAAATTATGAAGTAAATAAGTGAGTTTTGAGAAATAATTTGTTAAATTTTAAACAAACTAAAGATTGTCAACAGAAAATGGTGGATGTTGACCCAAGATTCTGGACTATTCCTAAAATATTCACAATATAAGATTTAAAAACAGTTAGCATGTATACTGCAACAATCAACAAGAGAGAGGGGCTGCTTCAGACAAACCCAGAACCCACCCAGAAGTGTAAACCAGGACAAAACCAAGACTAAAAAAAACTAAACTAAACTAAACCATGACTAAACTCAGACTACAAACAGGTCTACTCCAGAAAAATCAAGCCTAAACCAGGTCTAAGAAAGTCTTTCAATACAGAAAAACTATGTCCTTATTGAAGCAGCCCATCACAATATAGTTTTTTAAATAGTAAAATCTCACATATTTTAACCAGAAAGCACAACAACATCATTTGTTAGAAAAGAAACATTCTCTTTGTTCTGCTGGTGAGAAAAAGCTCCAATCAAAATGGCTTAAACCGCTCATGCTTGGAATATTTTACCAAGATCACTCCCAGCAAGATAAGGCGTCTCCATAACTGGTAATATATATACTGTATATGCATTCATCTGTAAAGACACAAGTATAAAAATAGAAGTCATAGTTATTACAGACTAGACTAAATCTTTTGCTTTTCCAAGTTTACCCTTCTTAAAGCTGCAATATGTTACTTTTTTGCTGAGGGTCCGTCAACTGCTTGTTTCTATGGATATGTCATTGCTCTGCCTGGAATGTTCCACAGTATGACATTAAACAGCTCTACTTTACATTTATTAAATCACAAGTGGCTTTACAGCTCAAAAATGTCTAAAAAACAGGCATTCTGACTGAGTGGGGTTGTCTCTGCGCAGATCTGATCTGTAACTTGTTCTAGTTTGGGCTTCATGAAGATAGAAAGGTTTAATGCCATATCGTGAAACATTCCACGAATCAATAACGTCTCTATGGAAAAAAGCATTTGATGGACCCTTCACCAGAAAAGTTACACAATGCACTATTCACATGTTAAATTTGACATATTTCGCTATAAATATTGTCTATAAAAATATAACCCATGCTGAAAAGGGAACAGTCCACCACAATGGCTTTAGCAAGTTTACAACAGTACAACACTAGGGGGCAGCGCAAATCTCAGTGTGAGTCAAAGCGGTTTCAAATCAGGATAATAATTTGAAGAGTTCAATTGCAAAAACAGATCCGTTTTGGAAAAAAAAAACAAAAAACCTTTTTGTATATTTTGATAACACTAAAATACACTTGGCTTTTGAAAATATTAAAACACTAAGAGTACAATAATTAGTTTTTCAAATGGCACTTCTCTGTTTTTGCATAGGAACTCTTCATTTCTTACAGTGCAGAGAAAATAATTTGCATTTTTTTTGCATATTTGTTGCATTCATTATTATCTCCTATGTAAGGAGACGTCCAAAACACTACATATATTTCCTATTTCTCACTTAGGTTTACTGAAGCAAGAAATAGTAAGATTGTTCAAGCAAACTAGTTTTGTTTATTTGAATGGGCTGACAAGCTGCAGTTAGATGAACCCAATTATTTATAACTGGTTTGTTTATGTTAGATTTTTGGAACCATGATGTTTCCTTGAATAAAATGTTAACAAACACAATTCTGAGGCTGAGATCCTACATACTTGCAGATGGGAATGAATGATACTAAGATTCTGTACTCCCAAAATTTGAGGGACAAAGAAAAATGGAACAAATATACCAAAAAAAAATACCAGTGACCTCTGGCCTGTAAGAGATTTCTTTGGACATTTGCCAAGTTCTGTTAAAGTGGGACTAAACACTAATCAACTTTTTTTTAAAAAAATGTTTATTTTCCCCTTTAGGCCTCAGGACGCTGCCCCTCCTCTCCCCTTTATACCTATAGTCTAGACCCTGCTCCTCCTCCCCTTTAGCCCTCCAGACTCCACCTCTCCTCCCCTTTAGTCCTCTAGTCTAGACCCCACCCCTGCTCCCCTTTAGCCCTCCAGACTCCACCTCTCCTCCTCTTTAGTTCTCTAGTCTAGACTTCACCCTTGCTCCCCTTCAGTCCTCCAGACCCTGTCCCTCCTTCACCCTCATTCTCCCCTTTAGTCCTCTAGTCTAGATCCTGCTTCTCCCCTTTCGTTCACCAGAACTGGCCCCTTCTTTCCCTCTTCCCTTTAGTCCTCTAGTCTAGACCTCGCTTCTCCTCCCCTTTAGTCCTCTAGAACCAGCCCCTTCTTTCCATCTCACTCTCCCTTTAGTCCTCCAGACCCCGCCCCTCCTCCCCCTTTATTCCTTATTCTCCCCTTTAGCCCTGTACTCTAGACCCCACCTCTCCTTCCCTTTAGTCCTCTATAACTGGCCCCTCCTTTCCCTGTCTCTGTCCTGTTTAGCCCTCTAGGCCCTGCCCAGTTTTACATTTCTTTTTGGGCTGTGTTTGTGGCGGAGTTTAGGTGTTTAGTTCCACTTTAATCTGAGGCCCTCTCCACACGTCAGCATTCCCCTAAACCAGAAAAACAAGTGTGAAGAGGGCAAAAAATAAATAAAATAAAAAGCAGAACAGCGCAGCATCAGCGACAGGTTCAACAGTCAGAGCTCAAGAATCAAGAAGAGACAGGTGCAGCAAGAGACAGGTGCAGTACATGAACAGAGACAAAGCAAGAAACCACCACCAAACCAAATCAAAACTACTCCTGTTAGCCTCGTGTTAGCCTGGTCACCCCAACTTCTCCTACTACTGCTCTCCCTTTGGTCAAGTTTTGAGTGAAAACAAAACAATTTCTCATCATTTTCAGTTTAAAAGGAGTTTAAAAAGTGCACAATAATAAAATCTAAAATAATGGTTCATAATAAAATCTGTATTTACTTACTTATTGTGGATAAATAATCTTACCATATAATATATTAATATATCTTTATTTATTTTGCATATGTTGGTTTATTTTAATATTTTCTACAATTGATTGAATCTGAAATAAAATACATAATAACAAAATATTCAGAGATGCACTGTTTTAATTTTTAATTTGAATTCAAACCAAATTGAGCTGAGAGGCACCCAGATATAAATATATACATATATCCATGCTCAGACTCTACTGCTCTAAAAGCTTTAAGTGGGAGGGGCAGGATGACCAGGCTTTGTTATTTAGAAATTAAATAAAAACTTGTTTGCAGACAGTGTTCAATGTTTGTATAAAATTACACTGAAAAGCTGTGCATGTCTCTGCAGAACAGCACTTCTTTGCAGAATGATGAAAAAAGATTAGAAATGACAACGAACAGATAGAACTGAACTTGACCCAATCTTCTTACAATTAAACCAATGTACAAACAGTTAAAAAAGAGGAATGTTAAACTAAAATAACAAATGGAAATAGTTCATACGTGGCTCTGAGATTCGCTGCTTCATAAAAGTCCCGATGACCATGCAGGACAGAGGCATAGTCCAAATGAGGCCCATCAAGGCCAAGCCAACCATTTAAAATGGCTCTGAAGTTCTTGTTTTTTTTCTAAATCTCTCTAAGCATACTTGAGAAATACTTTGTAAACAGTCGGACGTCATCTCCACAAATGTAACCAAAACGCTTCTGAAAAACATCCAGTGAGAAAGAAGTCTCAATACTCTGTAATTAACTTTCAAATCAAAACGTTTCCATTTCCTCAGCACAAAATCTGTAAAAAAAAGGGCCCAGATTTTGACTCAGATTTCCAGTAAAAATGCTGCTTCTTCCAGTTTGTAATACCTCGCCAAAGAATAGTTTGTAATCCTTTAAATTTCCAGCTAAATGGTGCAAAAGAAACTAAACGATAACTGTATCCAAATGACAAAATCAGACACCAGAAACAACACTTAAGTTGTCTGGTTGTATCAGTCCATGGAGCTCAGAGGAAACATGGACTGGTCCCGTTAAGTTATGCCCAGAGAGGAGCTCGGTGTTGAGGCACACACTTGCTCAGAGTGGGGGTCCAGAAAAACAGAGCAAGAGGACTCAACAACAGCCTCTGGGATTGTGGGTAATCACAACCAGAAAAATGGAGGCCACAAAGACGATCCATGCCCAGAGAAAAGCCTGGTTTCTGGGCACAGATTCAGGGTTTCTGGGGCCCAGGGGAGAGAACCACTGGAGTGGACAGACCATCGACGCTGAGAGCAGGAATGTGTATCTGGTTACTGCCATTGGTTGGGAACTACAAAAGAAAAAATATACAAAATGAATCAACATGTGTAACTTACAATATATTCAATTAATATCACTTATTAATAATAAATAATATATAAAATAACTTAATTTCAGAATGTGAATGTTTTTTTCATTATTTACAGTTCCTTTTCGCTGAAATGAGATCAGTAAAAATATGTGTTTCAAACTTCTGTTTCAATTGTTGCAATAGCAGAGCTTTAAAATCGATTATTAAATTATTAGAGTAATGGTTCTAAATTGTAGAGGGGAAGTCAATATCCCACACATTTTCAGTGCTGTGGTGTGAACCTTACGACCCCCAAGAATAATTCAGAGGTAGCCACCCATTACTTTGTCAAAAAATATTTTGTAGAGTTATGTTAGAAATAACATGGAGACAAGAAAGTAGCGGACCCTGCACCTTAGAAGATACATAGTGCACCTTTAATAGCAAATTCCACCATACATTTCTGACCAATCCTCTAGCACTATAAGGATTCTAAAATATTGTGATCTCACATGTTTTTGTTATGTTTCGGACATGTGCAGAGGAGAGACAGTGAACAATATGAGAGGTTTATAAAAGTGACAGACGAGGACATAAAGTTGGACAAAGGATGCTTAAGGACAGCATTAGATAGAAGGTAAAATACACTGTGGATTGAGCACAACATAACAGAGCTAAATAAAATGATTTGTGAGCAGGTGGTGGAGTGGAATCTGTGGGTGGAGGAACAGATGGGGGTCCGAGGAGCAGAGCCAAAACCACTGAGACCTGAGTCTGTTCCAGGTTTATGGGTCCCCCTCAGATCACTACATAAACACAACCTGGACCTGTCCATCACTGCTTAGCATTAAAAACAGGTATTTGAAGGTCCTATATTACGCAAAATTAACTCTTGTAGAGGGGAGCATTACCTGGAAGGAGAGTTTAGCAGGAGAGCGAGGGGCAATGGGGCTGAGTGTGCTCCAGAAGTGGATGGTGGAGGGCAGAGGACTTGGGGTCAGCAGTACAGGCGTCTGGAGAAAAAAAAATAAAACATATAAGAAACATATCAGGGTTGATATGTTGATTTGTGGTCATGTTAACAAAAATTACTGAATTAAGATAGAATTGTGTGTTTAGTTTGGAGTTAGGAGTTAGTTTGTGCTCCTTGAGTGTAGAGTTACCAGTGCATGTGAGGTGATGACAGTCGGCGTCAGTGTGTTGGTGCTGGATCCAGGAGCCAGTAAACTGTTCACCGCTGCATTCACCTGAAAAAGAAGAAAAAGAAACTCACAATCACAATCAGGTCTAAAACAGAGCTAATCCAGGACTAGATCAGGTCAAAGCTATGCCTGTCACTATACCAATTTCTGAATTATATATTATTTTGCTCGTGTAAATATAGACAATAAACAATCAAAGCAGAATTATCCCCAAAAAAGTTTTGTTAATGTCCTATATTAAACAAAATGCTGCAGTAACTAAATAGCAGAATCCAACACTAGTTTGTGTCTATAATCAGTCATAGAAGTTATTTATTCAATCTTCTACAGATCAAATATTGCAAAAAAATATATGAAAAATGCTCCACTACTGCAAAGAAAAAGTACACATAATTAGGGGTGTGCAGAAACACTGAAATATCGATATATTGTATTGTTTAATATGATGATACAGTATCGATATCGGGGCCTGCTGTATCGATATATCACCAAGAGTATTTTTTTAGTGTATTTTACTAAATTATTTTGTTACAGCACTACAGATTTGTTGCTTGTTTAGAGGAAGGAAACTCATTTATGCAACACATTTGACATTTTCACTGTTTTGATGATTAAAATCAGTCTGTTTCATATTCACTTTGCACAAGAAGTTCTTTAACAAAGACTTTTAGTATCAAAGCCATGATTTAACCATTATTTTTAATGAACCATATTGAATCAATTTGAAATATATATCATTCTGAATAAAAAGTGCACTGTATCGAGGTATGTATCGTATTGGCAAGTTCTTAATGATACCCAGCCCTACACACGGTAAATACTGACCCTAAAATATACTGTTGCAGCTTTCATATATTGAACGATAAGTCGATTTAAAAATTATCGTAAATATTTTATCATTGTGGTGATGCAGACCTTGTCCAAAGACAGTCCAGGTGGCAGTGTGGGTGCTGACGGCAGCTCAAGACCTCTGGGTTTCTTTGGTCTGGACGGGGCGCTCTCAGAGGCGGTAGACACAGAGACAGTAGAAGAAGAGGTGGAAGAGGAGGAAGAGGAAGAGGAGGAGGAGGAGGAGGGGGAGAAGGAGGAGAAGGAGGAGGAGCAGGAAGGTGCAGAAACCACTGGCTCTGGAGAAAAAGATGGATTTGTTTTACATTCTCACCAATGAGGATTCACTCATATCACTGACTGTTGAGTGTTAAGACTAAACACATATTAGGCTAAACAAACAGTAAAATGGATTCTTAAAGGGCCCATGTTACCTGTAGGGCCTGCATTCTTGGGTGTGGTCTCCCCTTGCTCTGTCCCTTCTGTCTGCTGAACTCTGACCCCAGGATCCATACAGGAAGTAGGCTGAGTCTCCACGATTCTTAATGTGGGCTCCGGTTCAGAGTTGCAGAGAAGTTGAGGGACCTGGAAATACTTTATAGTCAGTGCGATACATAAACACAAGTATTTAGTCTCATAAAACAGCTCACGCTCACTTGTTCCACACGTTTTTCCTCCAGAGCCACCATCTCCAGAAGTCCTTCTGTTGGGCCCCGTATGTCCTCATCTTTAACCACGATGGAGGGCTGGGGCTGGGGCTGGGGGGTGGGCTGTGCTGGGGTCTGACCAAGGGAGTGAGTCTGTCCCTGGGTAGGGCTGTGATGGGTCTGGGGGACTGGACCCTGGTTTTGGGGGAGTGCAGTTTGGTTCTGTGGAGGGGGGTTGATGATGAGGAAGAGTGGGTGTGGAGGTTGTGGGGCTGAGCTGTAGTCCTCAGGAGGGTGAGGCACAGAGCTGGGGCCCACAGATGATGGCCCCAGTGACAGTAAAGGGGTCAAGGAGTCCCCCACACTGGTCAGGAAGATCTGAGGGGGCTCGAGGGCTGGAGACTGAGAGGAGAGAAAGACCATTTTGAGCTTTGGAGATTAAGACAGACTAATAATTAAAGGTTACTCAGACATGTGAGAATGAAACAAAACACAACTACAGGTATGTTTTTTATGAGGTAACATATTGTTATCGTAATATAGAACCTTTAACTCTATCGTAACTTTGTCTTGTTCAAGACCTCGTCAAATTACTGACCTGTGAAAGTCCATTGCTGTGAGGGCTCAGGGCAGGTGTGGGACATGGAGAAGGCTGAGTGACGATCACCTGTAAACCAGTGTCCACAGCGCCACCTACAGACGCTGGACGGGGCTCTGGCACCACACAGACCTGAAGTAATAAAAAATATATATATATATACAATGATTTTGATGAGGGAACAAGGTTAGAAAGCTCAAAAAATCTATTTTGTATAATACCGCCTCTTTAAGAAGTATACATGTGTTTTGCTGTGGATTCTTTACCTCTCTTGGCATTCTGTCCACTGGAGCGACTGGGTCCGGGGGCTGCTGTTGCAGTAAGAGCTGCTCTGCTTTAACTGACTGCTGGTTGGTTCGGTCTGTTTTAATTAGCTGCTGATTGGGCCGGTCTGTTTTGATTGGCTGGCTGAAGAGCTGTGTGGGAGTGGTCTGTAGCGACTGGATGGTGAAGGTGGAGTACAGGCCGGACTTCATGTAGTCATTCCGTGAAGAGCTCTTTTGGGAAATGGGAGGAACACAGGTCCGCTGTGGTAAGCCCTTTGATTGACAGGTTATTGTCCCGCCCACTAGACCTTTTAACTGGCCGTTGCAGTCAACAGTGTCACGCTTTTCCTCAATATTGGACCGGGACAGGTCTGTGGTTGAGGGATCGATCTGACTCACAAATTTGTAAACAAACTTCTGCCCACTCACTTTCTTGATAATGTTCTAAGGGGAAAAACACAACATATATAGATTATCATTTGGTTTAGACCTGGTTAAAAATGTGTTAAGTGCTGTTTTAAACCAGGGGTTAGTTTATATTGAATTATTTCAGTCTTAGTTTAGTGTTTGTTGAAGCAGAAGCAATACCTCAAAGTATTAGTAGTAGTAGTACCTCATAGCAGTAAGAGTGTCTTATTTTAACTGTAGCCAGACCAATATCAGTACTATAACACTGAAGCAGAATCAGAAGTACCGTATTGTGTAATAGTAGTAGTAGTAGCAGTAGTAGCAGTACCTTATCGTAGTAATAGCGCAGCGCCCGGCTCAGCTTGTCGTAGTTCATATTATGCTTGTTCTTGCGGAGGCCCCACAATCGTGCCACCTCCTCAGCGTCCAGTAGTTTGAACTCTCCATCAGACCCACAGCCCGTCCACGAGATCAGGTGACGCTGACTCTGGTCCTCCAGCAGGTGGAGCAAAAACTGCCACAGTGTGATTGAGGGGTCCATCGCTGCAGCGTTAGAAGAAGAAAAATCTGGTAAATAGAGGTCAATAAATAAAGGGCAACTTAGGTGGAGGGTCCACCACCTGCTTGTCTCCACACAGATGACATTGTACTACATGAAATGTTTCATAGTATGGCATTAAATGTATCTGTCTCCTCAGAGACAACCAGGCGATACCTCCAGGCTGAATTATAGGTCTGTGAAGAGGCGACCACACTTACAGTAACAATGCATGTTTTTTTCAGAATAAAAACATCTGTAACTGAGTGCAGTGTAATGCAGTGTAAATGTATTTGTTTCAGAAATGAGAATCAAGAAGTAATGAGATCCAAGATCTAAGATCTTTTCACTTTTTAGTGGAATTATGGGATTATGAAGAGTGGCTAAGCATCAATCATGTGAGTGTCACATCCAAATTGTTTCTTTTCTCCTAAAATGCCTTGTCTAATCATCTACTGTCTATAGAAAGTTTTATGTGAATGACCCAATAAAACATAAGTTCAATTACATACTGAGCACCATTCAAGGTAAAGCAACTCCTTGTCCCTCCATGGAGACAAGCAGTTGCTGGACCCCCACCAGAAGAGTTACATGGCACATCTTTAAAGAGGTTTAATCCTCAAAATCCCTCACTTCAGTGAGAATTTCCTGTTGACTGGCCGACATATTTCCATCCTGAGTTGGAAATGTCAAAAGTCACAGACCGCTCACATTTGAAGATGAAAAACAGTAAAACTAAATCAAGACTAAAGCTCTTATTCATCTGCAGTACCACATCTTCTTACACCAGGGGTCCAAAGTTTGAGAACTACTGGCAAAAAGGAGACATTAGGTGTGCCTCATTATCATTACAAGTGTTGTGTAACATTACCCACTCTGAGCCTCAGAAGCATCCTCTGACCTCCAGCTCCATGACAACCATCACCATGACGACCTCTCATCACCGCCACCAAAGACCACCAACACAGAAACACACTATACTCTCTCAGACCTTTAGGGTGGAGCACTTTCAGTCTAAACTTCATTTATTCAACGACAAAAGCCAAGTGGTTTCATATTATAAATTATAATCACTGCTTCACAGCTGCCGCCACAAAAGCAAATCATTTATTGACGTTTATTTGACACTCTACCTTGAATAAACAGTGGTGTATGTTTCTCCCATGTGGACGTGAATCACCCAGTCTGTTATATTCTCTTTTATAATTGTAGTGTTTCACATAATGTTTTTCTGTGTTTCTAACAGTACCACAACATCCAGGCCTGTGGTGTTACACAGAGAGGCAAGCAAAAGGTCTTATAATGCTAATCTTCAGCTTTGCAGTTTTAATAAATACGGCAGGGTAGTGGATGAGAAAAAAAAATTAAACCACATCCTCTACCTCATCTGGGAAAGGACATAAGTACATTCTAGTACCTAAAACAACCAATAAACTTGTACTAACAGCAGAACTCCCACATACAGGGAGAGTAAGCAATAAGCAAATAGAACTAGGCCTGTCACAATAACTGACTTATCATTCAATATATGAAAGCTGGAAAGAGTATCATTTCTTTGTAATATTGGGAGAGTGTCTGTCATTTTTATGTAATAATAATATCAGATTTGAGCTGTAGACGGGACAATAACTAACTTATATGGCTAATTATTGGTTCATTCTGCTTTAATTTGTCGCATTGCAGGTTTTTAATGATACTGTCTATTTAAAAATTGGTTTACTGGCATTATCCTGCTTTGTGTCAGGGGCATAAAGTAATTTCAATATTATCGTTTATCATAATATTTCTCTGTAGCAATATATTGTGCTTCAAAATTTGTCATTGTGACCAGCTCAATAGAGCCCAGGATCCTTTAGGTGTTCTGTAAGTGTGCTAACAAACAAAAGCTAGGCCTGTCACTGTCACACTAACACATTTTTAAGCACAATATATATTGTTACAGAGATATACTGTGATAAATGATAATACTGAAACTACTTCATGCCACTGACACAATAACAATAATGCAAGATAATCCCAGCAAACCATATTTACAGAGACAGCATCATTAAAAAGTACGGACATAACGATATCCAAATCTCTCGTGTACTTTTTCCTCTTAAAAAGCGTTCACAAGACTTAATCCAAATAACTTTGATTTAAAAGTGCTTAAAATTGTTATTTCTTCATGTAGTCTGCACTGAAATGGAGCAAAGGATCATGGTCTATGTAGTTCCCTCAGTTTTTTTAGCCATTGATGCTCAATAACTATTAATTTAAGTGAAGAGACTTGTAAAGAGACCTTTGATGATACGATATCACGATATTTCAGTTATTGTTACAAGCATGAGCTGTAACAAATGAAAAGCAGAATGAAGCAATAATATGCCATACATGTAAGATACTCAGCCCTCTGCAGCTCAAATGTTATCGTATTACAACAAAAAAATACCACAAATCTCCCTACTTTTACAAAGAAAATGTACACACGATAAATACTGAGCCCCAAAATACATTATTCCATAGTAATTACAGCAAAAGGTCTACCAAAAGCCATATAAATTATAGAGCAATTTCACGAAGGGCCTGAGTGACTCTGCTCTCCCAGTCACCTGCTCTCAGTCCCTGGATCACCCAACTGAGAATGACACATCTCACTCTGGTCTCATTCCAGCCTGAAAGCATCAGCGTTTCCATGGTAACCGCCTCACTGGGCTCAGATCTGCAGCGGGACTATGACAGAGGCTGGTGACGCGTTTTGTGTTTTCTTTGCAAAAAGCTGAACATGCATTTTAATGAGAGAATAATATGACATGTTTCTGTGTTCAACTACTTAACAGTCTCATGGTCCTTTAATAATACAGATTTCCATCCTGTGAATAATGATGTGAAGTGAGGGACTTTGACTGCAGAAAATCCTGTACACTGTAAACATATGTCTACATTTGAACATACAATTTTAAGTGTGGTGTGTTCAAAAGCCCATTAATTACCAGTGTACCACCACCAGAGTTTGAGAAACTCTCAGTTACATTAATCATATCCCTTAGTCCTGCAGTGTGGTCATTGCACATGTTCTGTTGATGCTGTATTACATTATTATTCAAATTCACTTACACTGAACATCGTTTCAACTTCTCGGGTAGAGGGTCTGTCTGCTACCTGCTTGTCTCCATGGAGATGTTATTGCTTTGCCTGGCATGGTCCATGGTATGACTTTAAACATATACATTTAACATTTACTAATTACAGGTGTTTCTATTGCTCAAAAATATTTTCATTCCTTCTGTGATCAGAGGCGACCCTCCACAGATCTGAACTGTAATGTAGCATAGTGCTGCTTGTTTCCCTCTTGATAAGACAGGTTTAATCTATACAATGAACCAGACCTGGGCAGTGAACAGTTCCAGGGTCCTTTGATTGACTCTGACCAGCCCGTTTAAGCTAATTTGGAATTACTATACAAACATATTTTATCATTTTACTTCATGCATGGACTAAAGCTGCATTGTTTTTATTTTAGAGTTTTGTTTTTTTGTGTGTTTGTTTTTTAAATGAAGCAACCCTCACTTTTTCATTGCTTAGTCATAACATAAACTCTTACCAGTCTTATCAGCTTGTCAAAACAATCCTAATTACTGCTTTTTATAAAGAAATACAATTAATATTATGCAGAGTTGTGTTAAGCATTTTAGTCTGGCCCTCCACAATATTTTGTTTCTCATGTGGCCCTAAGGAAAAAATAATTGCCCAATCCTACTGTGGAATATTCTAGATAAAGCAATAACATTTCCATGGAGGCAAGCAGGTGGCTGACCCTCCACTAGTGCACCTTTAAACTAAACATTCTTCCCTAATTTTGCATTCATCCCTGCAGCATTAATCAGTGGCTCACATCTGTATCCCTTCTCTGTATGCCTGCTCCTCCCTGTGCATCCATCTCTGCCTCACACCTGTTGCACTGTACCGCACACGGCGCATCCTTACAGTTTATCAGTGGGTTTGACTCCATCTTCAGCCCGTTGTCACTCCCGCTTCCGTCAGTGGTTGGAAGTCTTACATGTCCCTCTGTTGCATGCCCTGGCTGGCGGGTGCTATCCTGTCGTTTCCCTGGTTCGAGGCGTTTTGTTTCGGGGTTTGGAGCTGTCAAAGCCGATGTGAGGCCGCGCTGAGCCGATCCTCTGCCAAGGTGAGGGCGTTATGTAAGGCGTCCTCCGCTGGCTCCATGTTGATACTCGCCTAAAAGTCGCATCAAACTACATCAAGTGCGTTTCAGACCCAACTTAGCCTCGTTAAAACAAGCATATCAATCATGAAAGGTGTGTGAGTCCGTCCACAGTCCAGTCTTATGAGTCAAATCAATGTCTGTTCTGCCCAAATATCTTTTTGCGTTACATCTTTGCTGGTGACAGGCGCTACTTCACTGGAGTCGCTGGTGCAGGAACTTTAGCATTCAGTTTACCGATGAACATGTGCATTTAATGTTGACTTTTGGCGCCCATATGTGGAGACTGAATCCACAACTAGACGTTCGGTTAATTCAGAGAATAAATTAAATAATGTGTTTTTAGGATGGCTTGGTCGCTGAGCTTGTCGTGTTATGCTAATCTGCTAGCCTAGCCCTCCGCCTTCCTCTTCTGCGTCAAACTGCGCTGACTGCGGACTGGAAAAACAAGCACAGAAAGTCCTCCGGGACAGGTAAAAATGTCCCGTGTATGTCCCATAAATGTTTGATACAAAAAAGGTCGCGAGGGTCTTGTTTTCTCAGTTTCTTCCTGTTTGTTTGTTTGGACGAACGCCCCCTCACTACTTTTTCCCACTGTCAGGTCAACTTCAGCGAGGACAACTACTTCCGCCCGACGACTTCAAAACAAACTCTTAAGACAGAAACACTGAATATGGCGTTTTTATGATATAAAAAAAAAAATTCAAATATACAGGCTAACCCAAAAAACAGATGGTCCCACCACATCTGCGTACTGCCATATTCGTGGGAAAGATACATGACTAGCACGCCTTCCTTTAGCGCAGGGGTGTCAACCTCATTTTGGTCCGGGGGCCGTATCCAACCTACTCTGATCCCAAAAGGGCCGGATCCGAAAACTCATGGCAATAAGTTCAAATATTTGTGCAGAGAAACGCAAATCTATTACAGAAATATTTTTAATTGTTGAACTCTTATACAAAATATTATAATATTATGAACAACCTGAAACTTTAAGAAAAATGCAATTTCAACTCAATGTTTTAACATTAACTTGTATGCAAATAGGAATAAGTCAATTTTTCTTGGAAAATCCTGCACTTGGTGTCCACTTTTCTCATTTTTGACATTTTGCTGTTGAGGGTGTTACGGTCAGTCAAAACGATCGTCCTTTAAGAGCGTTTGGAAAGAGCCATGTCTTCATTTGTGCTGCTCTGGGGGGAGGCGGTCACGCACAGAGGCGCTGGAGAAATTACCAATATTTTAATAGAAAATATAAATAAAATATTTTAGTAGAAAATCAGCCGAGGGCCAGGTTAAAGGTCTTAGAGGGCTGGATCTGGCCCCCAGGCTGTATGTTTGACACCCCTGCTTTAGTGCCTGTTCACTTCACTCACTGAATTTATTATATAGTAATATATTATTGTTTCTGTGAATAAATGTGTTAGAGAATTATCCACTCGTTTGTTCATTATAAACCCAACCAAAATTAATATATATTTGAAACAGCAATCCTGCGTAACATTCTCCTGTTTTATCCGTATGATTACATGTTTAAAAAAGTATGAAAAAATCAATAATCTTTGTGACCAGCTCTTATCTGATCTTGCTGCATGTTAAATCAATGTTAATATGTTGGTTACTTAATCTTTGTAGCTTGTTTATTTCAGTGTCGTTTGTCATGAATATCTATTGTTTGGTTCACTTTGAGAGGTGCACATATTTTCCCAGTGTGGTTTTTAACTACAGATGGCAAATAAACTTACCTAACTTAACCTAAAACCCATTTCTTGACATAGCTTTCTGTTCGCACTTTGATGTGGGGTTTATTCTGCAGCAGGAGCGACCACAGGGGATTCTACAGTAACTACTTTTACTTGAGCACTCAAACTAAAGATTATACATATACTGTACATACATATATATCATATACTTTACTTCTTGAGAAATGTAATATTTTAAAGTAACAATACACATTAGAGCACAGAAATCTTTAAATAATGGGGATTTTTTTTATTTAACATACTCAAAATGTATTTACAACATAAGACATATAAAACAGAGGCACAAGAGCCACATCATTAGTTCTGTTTTTTCCAATAGGAGATTTTTCAGACTTATTTCATTGGGGTGGCTCAAGGATGGCACCAGGGCGAGGTGATCATTTTGAGAATTGACACTTAAATTTCTTTTTATTTGGAGACAAGCAAATGGCTGACCCTGTGCCAGAAAAGTTACATAGTGCACCTTTAAATAGAGGTGTGTCATTATGGACAGTTCATCTCAGAAGAGGTCTCTGGTTTGGGACTCAGGCAAATCAGTGAAGCCCTGCAGCTCTCTCAGGCCCTGCAGAAGCAGAATAAGCACAATATTTAACATAAAAGCCCAGACATAACAAGTTCCCATATTCAGTGAGACCAATGTTGTCCCAGAATACGTTAACACCCTCATAGATGCAAGGCAACTGTGTGTAATAGCAGTAAAAAGACATGAACCTTTAGGTAAATTATCACATGGCATACTAACAACTACCAGCATTTTGAAAAGAATGGTTTCTTGTGGATAAAAACAACAAAACGGCTTTACTGTTGGAATTGTATCTTAAAGGTGCACTGCGTAACTTTTTGATTAGGATCCGTCATCTGCTTGTTTCTATGGATGTTATTGCTCTGACTGAAATGTTCTGCAGAATGACATTAAAGAGCTGTACCTTACATTTAACCAAATACACGGTTTTATTGCTCAAAAATACCTAGAAAAACAGGCATTCTGATTGTGAGTTGGGTTGCCTCTCCACAGATCTGACCCGTAACTTGGCCTCCGCAATGATAGAAAGGTTTAATACCAAACTTTGAAACATTCCAGCCAAAGCAATAACATCTCCATGGAGAAAAGCATATAACAGATCCCCCATCAAAAAAGTTACACAGTGCACCTTTAAATGAGAATGCAAATTTAAAGTAGTAATGTTTCATACCTCTAAAACCAAACGTATGTGAGCTTTGATTTTGGCAGAGTCCTTGGTGAGCTGTTCGGTGAATCTGAAGATGAGCACAGTTAAAATTATTCATTGTAAACATCTAATTTTGTAAATACTGTGTGCACGGACTGTGTGAGCTGAGCAGTCTTCTTCTCAATAAACCTCAGAGCCTCATCGTGGGTCATCTCCACAAAAAAGCCATATCCCACAGCCACAAAGACCCTGGATGCATCCTCGCTGTGCACAGGAACAGAGGATTAGGGTGCATGTTTTCAAACAGAGGTACAAGCAGCATTCAGGAGTGTAGTTTTTGGATCAATTTACTTAATTTTGGCACTTTTGTCACTGGCATAGTCCTAAATTAGCCCTGCTTCAGTAAGACCAGAAAATTGGACACAAAAGTTGGCTAAAAGTTAATGACAACAATATCATGGCTGGATAAGCAGCTGTAGAAAATGTTGTTATAAAACATAATGATGAAGTATATTAATAAAATTCATAACATAACTTTGGATTTATTAAAATGCATATTAGGTGACATAAGTAGAAAAGCTAATTATTAATTTGAAATGCAATAAATTATAGGATTATCTTTTATTGTTAAATAGAAATAATGCTATTGTGATTAATTGCTTGTGTCCCATGTGTACAGACAAGAGTTCAGCTTACACGTGGGCTTCAACGTAGAAGTTACAGCCTAGATCGACGTCAGTCTTGAGATGCTTCGATCCCTCCTCCTAAAAAATAATATCACCAAACTTACTATATTTTTTAATGTAGTGATAGCAGTTGATAATATCAACATAATCAAGCATGACCATTGTGAATATAATTGGTTAATTGACTTACAAGAATTGCCAGTTAAATGCATGAACATGGTAACCTAAATAAGATATGTGAATCAAGTTAATGTAGACTAATATTACATATATTAAAGTTTGGTTCAGATTACCATTATATATTATGGTATTTGATAAAAGTTTGAGGTAAAATAAGAATCATTGAGCCTCTTCTAACTATTTATGCTTTTTTTTTTTTTTTTTTTTTTAATTTACTGACTTATGTTTTACGTTTCAATCAAAGCTAGTACAAACCCGGAGACTATGAAGCGTGTTCTTGAGCTGCAGGTATTGTGAAATCTTCTCATAAACTGAGTCCCGCTGCTCCAAAACCTTCCTGTTAAAAACAACTACACGTGAATATACATCTGTGTCCTCTGAACCCGTGTCCAGTGTACAAATACGGTCCCTTACTGCAAATCCCTCCGGAGTACTTCGTTTATGAAGCTTTCGTACTGCAGCACTTTCTGGTCTATGTTAGCTTTAGCACTAGCCATAACAGTAGCTCTACTTAAAAACTGATCGAATTTTAAAAAGCTATCGTCTAATTTGATGGTGTTGATCAAAGTTCCTGTTTAGTCTTCGCAGTTGTTATGTCATTATAAAGTAAAATAACTGTGATTTCAGATGCTAAGGAGGCGTCAAACTCATGGTCAATCCGATGTAAACAACGTGACAGACTGAAACCGGAAACCACTTTTCTTTTAATCAGAAGTAGAGCTGTGGTGTAAACAGCGACACCTGCAGGCCACAAAGTCCACTGCACACGTCAACAGTTCAAATGTTTGTATTATTTCCTCTCGACCAGGGGTGTCATACTCATTTTGGTCCGGGGGCCGTATCCAACCTACTTTGATCCTAAAGGGGCCGGATCAGAAAACTCATGGCATATAAACCCCAAAAACAGCAATAAGTTCAAATATTTGTGCAGAGAAATGCAAATCTATTAAAGAAATCTTTTTTAATTGATGAACACTTTCTTTTACAAAATATTATAATATTATGAGAAAAAAATGCTATTTCAACACAATGTTTTAACATGAACTTGTATGCAAATAGGAATAAGTCAATTTTTCTTGGAAAATCCTGCACTTGGCGTCCACTTTTCAATTTTTGACATTTTGCTGATGAGGGCGTCACATTCAACAGTCAAAACGATCGTCCTTTAAGAGCGTTTGGAAAGAGACAAGTCTTCATTTGTGCTGCTCTGGTGGAAGGGGCCACGCACAGAGGCTCTGGAGACGCTGCTCTGCTAAGAGGAACAGAAAATTACCAATATTTTAATAGAAAATATTATGGAGTAAGAAAGCTGTCAAAAATATTTGTGCGCATAAAATAGAAATCCGTGCGTATTTGGGAAATCCGTGCATATTTGGCTGTAGTTGCGCATAAAATAAATATTTGTAAACTCTCAAATGAGTCCAGTCGTACAAAAAATATATTGTGTGTATTTTATCCATCAGAATACGAATTGAAAAATTACGACGTCATGAATTACAATCACGAAATGAAAATTTACGATTACGCTTTCATCAGTACGAATACGAATTCACAGACGGAACTTTACTGTCAAAAATACGTCATCACTTCACAGACATTATTCATCGAGCAGAAGAAACATCGATCAAGATCAAGACTGCGCAGCTCAAGTTTGTAGCAGAGGGTAAAAACAGAGTAATAACACAAGAAGCTACAACAGCGACCAACAAGTGGGTTAATTAAAATCTATTGTAAAAATGTCTTGAATTCGGGAACCGAACGCTGCTGTATAATATTGTGTAGAAACACCTCCTTTGAACGGGAAATTGCACCTATATGTTAGATAACATAGTGGTAGCCAGTTGGCTAACATCTGACGTAACGTTATCCCAGGGCTAATTAGCAAATATCAGGTTCTCTGTATGTTTAGATTAAAACATTCACGACTACAGCCACAGCGAACATCAGTCAGTCTGAACCTTCAGCTGCATTTCAGACAATGGGTTTTTCATGAGTTATAATGGGTTATAATGAGCAAATCCATCCACGTCACGGTGACGTTATACTTACTGGTAAATACTGTAAACATACCAAGGTGTTGCCTGTAAACACGAACATTAATTGATGCTGGAAGCTGCATTAAACTGTAATGTGTAACATTTCATTAGCTGTGATGTCTGTAACCAGGACAGTTTGGTAGTGTTTGGTGTAAACTGGGACATTTCAGCGTCCCGAGGAACTTTTGGTGGCATTTCATGCGAGAAATGAAACACCTCCTTTGAACGGGAAATTGCACCTATATGTTAGATAACATAGTGGAGCCAGTTGGCTATCATCCGACGTAACGTTATCCCAGGGCTAATTCGCAAATATCAGGTTCTCTGTATGTTTAGATTAAAACATTCACGACTACAGCCACAGCGAGCATCAGTCAGTCTTCACTTCAGCTGCATTTCTCGCATGAAATGCCACCAAAAGTTCCTCGGTCCTGTCCTGGTTACAGACGTCACAGCTAATGAAATGTTACACATTACAGTTTAATGCAGCTTCCAGCATCAATTAGTGTTCGTGTTTACAGGCAACACCTTGGTATGTTTACAGTATTTACCGGTAAGTATAACGTCACCGTGACGTGGATGGATTTGCTCATTATAACCCATTATAACTCATGAAAAACCCATTGTCTGAAATGCAGCTGAGATGAAGGTTCAGACTGACTGATGTTCGCTGTGGCTGTAGTCGTGAATGTTTTAATCTAAACATACAGAGAACCTGATATTTGCTAATTAGCCCTGGGATAACGTTACGTCGGATGTTAGCCAACTGGCTACCACTATGTTATCTAACATATAGGTGCAATTTCCCGTTCAAAGGAGGTGTTTCTACACAATATTATACAGCAGCGTTCGGTTCCCGAATTCAAGACATTTTTACAATAGATTTTAATTAACCCACTTGTTGGTCGCTGTTGTAGCTTCTTGTGCTATTACTCTGTTTTTACCCTCTGCTACAAACTTGAGCTGCGCAGTCTTGATCTTGATCGATGTTTCTTCTGCTCGATGAATAATGTCTGTGAAATGATGACGTATTTTTGACAGTAAAGTTCCGTCTGTGAATTCGTATTCGTACTGATGAAAGCGTAATCGTAAATTTTTATTTCGTGATTGTAATTCATGACGTCGTAATTTTTCAATTCGTATTCTGATGGATAAAATACACACAATATATTTTATGTACGACTGGACTCATTTGAGAGTTTACAAATATTTATTTTATGCGCAACTACAGCCAAATATGCACGGATTTCCCAAATATGCACTGATTTCTATTTTATGCGCACGAATATTTTTGACAGCTTTCTTACTCCATAAAATATGATTAAAATATTTTAGTAGAAAATCAGCCGAGGGCCAGATTAAAGGTCTTGGAGGGCTGGACCCTGCCCCCGGGCCTTATGTTTGACACCTGTGCTCTAGACATATGTACAAGTGAACTGTCTCCTCATGTCCACTCACACGTACGTAAGAAGAGTCCTCACTGTTTTTAGTGACTGAATATATGTACAGAGATCACATAATCTGAATACTAATTTTGACCTGTATTCTGATATATTCTAAAATTGAAAGGAATACTTTACAGACTTGATCTCACAATTTAGGCTTCAAACTAAATATAGAAAAAACACAAAACAGTGCTCTTACAGTGTGTGGATGTCTCTAACTAGTGATAGGAAATGCATAACAAATGCATTACTTATTTTCTCTTGCTTATTTAGAATTTACTATTACCTTTTTTTTTTGTTATTATATTATATTGTGCTGTGTGAGCTACTATGTCCAAATAATTTCCCTTGTGGATCAAAAAGATTGTCTAAGTCTAAATCAAAGTCTAAACAAGCAGAAAACAGTTTTTAATCCTGTGTTGCATTTTTACACTATAATTTAAATGTGAGTCGATGTAAAAATATTCAAAATTTACAAAATGCATTTTAATGCAGGTATTCAGTATTCTCTAACTAAATACATTGTCAAAGTACTTTTTCCATCACTGCATGCAGATGTCCACACATAAAATAAAATCCACGTAAAATCCAGTTTACTCAAGCTACCGAAAAATGATTGAGAAACAAATATCAAAGGTCCATGTTTTTGGCAGTAGTTGTGCAAATATTGAGAAACAAATATCAAAGGTCCATGTTTTTAGCAGTAGTTGTGCAAATATTGAGAAACAAATATCAAAGGTCCATGTTTTTAGCAGTAGTTGTGCAAATATTGAGAAACAAATATCAGAGGTCCATGTTTTTGGCAGTAGTTGTGCAAATATTTCCTAAAAATCCACATGTGGCTTTGGCGGCATTTATTTATTTATTTATTTATTTGTAATACTTTATCAATCTTGTTGAAAAATTGTCCTCTGCATTTCACTCATCCTTTCAGGAGCAGTGGGCAGCACATGGGGCGCCCGGGGACCCATCTCCATGATCTTGTTGTTAGGCTTGGTCAGGACTACTTTAGCTGGAGGATTTTTACCTTCCTATGTTGCATGTTTTGGGCTGATGGGGGAAACTAGAGTTCCCAGACACGGGGAGAACATGTAAACTCCACACAGAAAGGCCAGGAACCCAGAACCTTCTTGCTGTGAAGCATGAGAGCTAGTCACTCAGCCACAATGCCACCATCAAATTAAAGATATACTGGTAAACAGAATCAGGTTTGGAGGAAGGTATGAGAGTGTGGGATGTCCCAGACGGGCGACAGTGATTGGTTGGTGAGGTCTTCTTTTAGACCCGATCAGAGGACTGAGCAGCATTCTGGATCAGGTGGACTTGACGGGACTTTGGAGATGTTGATGAAGATGAGGTTCAGCTCTGTGCTCCTGTTCTTGGCTCTTGCCTCCGTCTCCAGATCAGCCCCCACAGCACAGCACCAGGACGTAATTGAGAACACCACTCTGTAATACCATAAAGTCCTCCTTGCATTTTCTCTTCTTTTCTTAAAGGACACATATTACTCTATTTTCTCATCTAAGTTTTAATGTTGTTTCCTCATCACAAACATACCTGGAGTGTGTATTTATTCATTCAAACATGTTAACACACAAACCCTGCATATTTAAGTGTTTTGGGGAGTTTTTCTCTCTAACAGAAAGAATTCTGTTTCACCTTGTGATGTCATGTGGTAATGAAAGTGCTCCACTGTGTTTTTAAACTCCATATGTCTTCAATAGAATCATCTGAATCATTTCCACTCTGGAATGGCCGATCTCTACTGAACTAAAGTTAAAGGGAGCTGTTAACTTGAAAACTACTGCTTCATGACATCACAAGGTGGAACAGAGCATTTTGAGCTTTGAAGACAGACTAATTATAAAGTGTAGTAGCTATTTGCGTATTTTGTTTATTCTAAAATTAGTTTATTATTTTTGTTTGTTAATTAGTTTATAAATTTTGTTTTAATTAATTTTGATCAAAATGTGGATACTTGGGTCCAGAGGACAGTGCCTCAAATGTGTGCTTTGATCAACTCTCACCTCGTCTCCTTCACTGTGTCCATGCGCCTCAAAGCAGAGGCCAGCAGAGCATATGGAGTAAGAAAGCTTTCAAAAATATTCGTGCGCACAGAATAGAAATCTGTGCATATTTGGGAAATCCGTGCCTATTTTTGAAAGCTTTCTTACTCCATATGCACGGATTTCTATTCTATGTGCACAAATATTTT